ACTGCACAAAACTCAGATGAATAGCATCCTAGTATTCGAACGAAAGGTATTAAGAATTATAAATGACCCGTGTGTAGACACTAGCACCAGAAAGTGGGGATGAAAAAAGAATAAATAANAAAATGTTATTGATTTAATTGAACAAAAATGTAGTTTGTTTAAGAAAATATTGATAATTTAAAAAAACATAATTTGACAAATAATAATTTGTATTTGTTTATATTTTCATTTCAAATATTTGCATAGATATTATGATGTAATTTAATAATAATCATTCAACAGGATTCCATCGAAATATGAGTAACGGTAAGTGCAATTTAAAAACCCGAAAAAATTTTTTAAAAAGGACGGATATTAATACGTCATATACGTCATATTATGAGCAACCCATTGTTATAAGTGATAAGTAGGACATGTAAGACATAGAATGGATTTTAATTTATATCTGTACACAACGATAAAACATGACTTACGAAAAACGATTCTGAGTAGTGTTCGGAAAATAGCATTGCTTTTTGTACAATGTGCGTTTTCATGATAACGATTTTTTAAAAAAATTAAAATAATAAAATCTTATTTATAACAAAAAATAAATAAAAAATGTCGCCAATGACAACTTTATTTTTATCTTTTAAACTATTTTTACTCTAAAACCAATTTTTCCTCTTTATCTTAAATATAATGATAACTTCAAAAAATGACCTTTCTAAAGTAACAACTAAAGCTAAAATGCAACCCAAAAGGTCCTCTTTTCATGTTTTTATTGAAGCAAGATATCTAGGAGAAAAGTTATTTACAAGAAGAAAAAAATACAAATCAAAGTTAAACTAATAGATTTCTCACTTCACTCGGAATTTAAAATTTGGCGAGTCTATTTTTAATTTATTTTCTGAGATTCGGATCCTCGTGTATTTATTGTAAACTTAGGGGTTGTTCTGTTTAAAATGATTTAAAGCCATCAATCTTTTTTATTGTGTTTATGGAGAATACATATATACTTAATTAACTAAATATGTGACCGATTTTATAATATTACCTCGGGCCAGCTCGGATTCCCAGTCCACCACTGAACTAAACTCCGCCCCTGAACTAAACTCCGCTCAGAGAGTTAGGTTAACCTAACCTAATCTCAAAATTGTTTTTCGTTATTAATGATTAATCGTTGCGTATAGATTTCCCCTAATTTCCCCTCTATATCGTACCTTCCTAATTTCTTACCTACTATAGTACCCCACCCAATGTGTGAAATGTGTCTGTCTTTTTAAAAATATGATAACATAGTGAAATCCATAGATATAAAAATATATTTGTTATTTGTGATCGAACAGGATTAAGGTTTTTAATGTTATCATTTTGTTTGGCAGTTCAACGGTTCTCTTATTAATGATTTCTAGTTTCAAAATAAATATCCCAGGATTGCTTAAGATCTATTTACACATAGAAGTGACGTGATAATGACGTGGCTTTTCTGGGATTGCACTGGTGAGATAAATAGTATAGGAAATATAAGCTTATTGTTCTCATTCGTCCGGTGAAGAACCGTACTGTTGCAAGCAGTGCTGTAACCGTCACCGTGTCGTGATAGTGAGATTTCTTATGGATGTTATTTTTCTAATTTAACTGCCTAATTTTTTAGTTAGGCAAGTATTGACTTTTCCCAGTTTTAACTATAATGCACTATATCTAACGCCAAATGAAACACTGATTAGTATAAATTAGTAATAGACGTTAAAGATTATGCGAGCTTACACTGTCACATATTTACCAGTAAATAAGAATATGAGTGGATGATGACATGGAGAGATTATCTTTTATGAAAAACCGGAGGTTAGTCTCTGCATTCTAAGTATATAACATGCATTGTAATATTATAATTAATTAAATATACATTTCTTATTTCATTTATTTAAATGTTATATTTTACAAATATAAAAGAACCAAATTTCCGTGTCTATTCATAAAACGGTTGTAGCTGTGACCTCGCTTTTTAGAGAGTTTTCTATTTTTAGAGTGGGTGAAAATATATTTTGCCTCCTCCCCCTTAAAGAAAGCACCAATATCAACGTAAATCTTAGCTATTTTCAAAAGCAAGGAATTCGTTAATTTGAGTTTGTTTCTGTGTTTGTTTTTGATGTCCAACATTGCCGAAAATCCGACCTCACATAAGTATGAATATGAGAAAGTTTGTAATACCTTTAAAGCTTCAGTTGAAAGAGATGGACATTCTGTTGAGCTGACAGCCAAAATTTAATCAAATTATTGCGGCTAAATTTAAGTTTTAATGATGTATTTTCAGATTCATCAATGAGTTCTTCGGCTTTTGTTGATATCTCTGTTAATATAGCGTCCTGAAACGGATTCACAATTCAGTTATTTTGTTGACATTTTTCCATTTCTTCAAGAAAGTAAAAATTGAGATTGTCTTTCAACGAAATTAAATGCAAAGTGACTTGACTATTAATGTCATCAGCAACTTATATATTATTTTCAGTTATGAAAGTTTGAAATATTTCAAAACGATCATAATTTTGCTTTTCAATGTTTTTTGACATAAAGTAAGTTTTTTTTCTAAAAAATCTAATTTTCTCATGGACCGCAAATATATCAGATCCTTCTGTTCTTTGTAAATATATATTCAGTTCATACAGATTTTAAAATATGTCGGCTAAATACGTGAGCTTCAAAATAAAATCTTCATTGTGCAACGATTTTGCCAAATCAGATTTTTTTTTTAAAACAGTGCAACTTCTTCGTGGAGTTCCACAAGTCTTTTTTATACTTTTCCTCTTGACAGCCAACGTACTTCGGTGTGCAAAATAAAAGATTTATGAGAACTTTCCATCTTTTCACATAATCTTTCAAATAGTCGTGATTACAGTGGCTTTGTCTTAATGAAATTTTCACAGAAGTGTTCAATATGATTTTCAAGTTATCCAGCAGATTTTTTGATACTAAAACTTCCCTGTGAATGTCACAGTGAGTCCATGATGCATTCGGACTAACTTCAAGCATTCGAGTTACAACACTATTATTTTTACTATACATATTTCTAGCATCGTTTTTACATAATCCGATATATTTTACCCAATCAAGACCTTTTAATTTTTATATAAGTATCGAGGGTATAGAATATTTCCTCACTAGTACCTCGAATAGTTGGTTCACAAAATAACATATCTTCATGTGGTCCGTTGTTCCATATATTACGTATGAATACAAGAAGCTGACATAAACCTTGAGCATCAGTAAATTCATCTAGTTGTAGTGAGAAAAATCTACTTTAACTGGCTTTTTGAATTAGCTGATCTTCTGTCTATTGAGACATTTCATTAATTCTTCGTGTAACTGTATCATTTCGACGTCTTCTGAGATTTTTTAACCAAACATCACCCCAACTATATCTTTTATTGATGGAAATGTTAAATTCTCTCCGATAGTATGTGGTTTGCTAGATTTTACGATTCGTAAAATTATCAGGTACGAAGCGTGCATAGCTTTTTCACTGACCTTGGTAAACTGTATAATTTTTGTTTTGGATGTTTTCAGTTTTTTCAACTTTGTTTCGAAATAATAGAGAGACTAATCAATTAGATCAAGATGCTTTGTCTCAGTATGCCGACGTAATTTATTCGGGCGCATAATCTCGTTTGCAAGTAATTCATAACAAATTACACACTGTGAAAAACGTATTGTTCNCTCTTACTTTTTAACGGATGTCTTAGTATTTTTATTTATAACAAAAAAACAATAAAAAGTAAAATGGCAGGTTATATTTTTTAATTTTTTAATCGAAAATCTTTATAAAGTTTTAAATATAATAATTTTCGGTAATCTTATTATAGCATTGTGCACTCTACATTTCCATCGAGCCTATTTCTGCTTAAATGATAAATAATATTTTATTTAAATAGAAAAATATCGATTACCTAACTTTTAGGTATTTATTGCTTATGGGTAGTATTATTTAATGATATTAACTATATTAAAAAAGTATAAATACATGATTACATTTTATAGGTGACGCATATGATTATGTTGAGAATCTGATGACTTTTGCGGATTTCGATGGTACTTTGACGTGAATTAATAATAATAATAATAATTTTAGAAGACTATTGTTTTTCTCACATAAACTCTTAAAAGTTTTATCGGACTCAAAATGCTAAAATAATAATGGTATTACAATTGCTATAATTTATAATAGACTTACCTAAGTTATAGCAACTCAATAATAAAATAATTTTTAGATTCGGAGAATAGCAAGTTATCTATTGGTTTTAATTTGATATTGGGTTTTTTTTTTTTTTGTCAGCAAAGAACTTGTTGAAAAGAAATCTTGCTCTTATCTATAGAGTACAGTACCTGATCTAAAAAAATAATTGTTCAAGGGGTTTTTGAAATAATTGGGAAAACCCCGATAAAAATAGGCGAAACGGCAAATACTTAATGTCCATGCACCGCGTGATCGATTTAAATATTACTCCAATCGAAAAATGGAAGGAGATCGATTTTGTTCCTTTTAATATATAGCAATTTAAAATAAGTCGTTTAATAACGAGTCTGGGTCTATCAACTGACAACCATTCGACCAACAGGATGATTGACGGACAATAATTTATAATGCCATGCGATTTATATTTTTATTTTAAAAATCAAAGGAAAATATACGATTTCTAATAGAATAATATATAAAGTATTAATTTATAATAAAACGAAATTTATGTTTTTATTTTTAATATAGGTATATTGTATAAAAAAAAAATTCTATACTTCCTTAAGTACCGCCTCAGACCAATTTACTTTTAGAAATAAAACCTTGAAAATCGGAGTAAAATTTCTGATAGAAAAATTTCTTATAGAAAAAAATGTAAAACTAAGACATTTCTCGCACTGCCCATAATCTTTAAAATTCAAGGATAACAATTATTGTAATAATTTTTTCATAGTATTCATTTATTTTTAACTTAAGGAAGTTATTTTATTTATATTCTCATTTTATATGGATATTCAGTATCAATACTGGAATAATATACTGTTACATTAACGTATACAATTAAAATGTAATTAAGTATTCATATAATTCTATATTCTTCTTTGTAGAGAATAAAGTCGACAAGTCACATCCAAAACAATTTTGTGAAAGACTGGAAGCGAATAATGGCACACCACTTTCATCCATACTACCAGATGAGAAACCTGATGAAATCTGACAAAAAAAATGTATATTGCATTTATATTGTATGATAAATATTAATCTGCATATTTTTATGTTAGTAGATTG